ATGTTTAGTACACAGCATGCATTCTGCTCAATCTGCTAAATATGAGAACTCTTTAAATTTAGAGACAGGAAAGCTCCCAGATGTTTTGTAGCACTATTTGCTAAACAATAAAATTAAAAATTAAAAAAAAAATCAAACTATATAACTAGATTAAGCAAGTGTATTTAACATTGTCATTCAAAACCAGGAGTTATTCCCCCTACATCTGGAAATGGGAGAAAAATCATAAGCTTTCAAAGCATTTTACACATTGGTTACACTTGGACATAATGCACAAGCTTCAATTTTGTAATGCACTCTTCCTTTGCTTCTTGTAGCCATAAGAAGATGAAAAACATCTTGTTTTTAACTATGGTTCGTCAGAACATACTTTGGTTAATGCTGATAATGGCTTATTAAAATAATACAAATTCAAAGCCTGAACCTAAAGCAGCTAATAACATTTATGACAAAACAAAATATAAATATTTAAAAATGCAAATTAAAAATAGCAATGAAATTAAAATTGTTAACAAGTGTACAGCTGACCAACTATGTGGGTAATTCCCCAAGCACATTCAGGAAACCATCAGACCATTTTAATCAGTCCTAAACCTGTAGAGGTTTATACTGCTCTTCAATCTAAAACTGACCAGGGAGTGTCCAGGAAAATGAAGTCATACAGGGCACCTTCTGATCAGCAACTTCATCCAAACTGAAAACCAAATCCAATGTGTGCCATGCCAAATATTAATTTGGAAAGGTCTGTGGTCATCACCAAAGACAAGACCTCTTAAGCCATCCTTGACTGGGAATCAGCCAGGATTAAAAAAAACAAAAACTATGACAATCCAATGCCATACTCAAGATTATCCCAGCTAGTTTGGGAAGAGAGACTGGTAGGCAGCAGGGTGAAACACCAGTTCACTCATCTCTGACTATTTCAGAGTAGTCTGAAATCGTACACATGAAGCCTTTCCAGTAGTTTCTTTGCATTTATTTTTATATAAAAAGCCTTCATCTATAACGAAAGTCCCTTTTAAACAACTATATGGTAGGACAGGAAAAAGAAACAATAGATCTATACCGTATCAGCCATCCAGCTAAACAGCATGCATTCCAAATTAGCAAAGTACTGTATGGTGTACTCAATCTATCTCCTTGGCCTTCAGATCTAGACTGCTATCCCAAAAAATTGGCAGAAATAAACTATTTGTTGATGCTTATTTCATTCCCAGGCTGTTTTCAGTATCCTACTCTTCCTGATTTTGCTGATGCATCTCTTAACACCAGGCCAAAACAAACTAGCAGTCCAGATTCTTTTCCACCTCCTTATGAACCCACTGCCCTCGACCTAAAGACCTCTCTTTGGGGTTTCAAATGGGCACTGTATTTCAAGGACAGTGGTTCTTTTAAGCCCCAGTTCCAGGAACCTGATACAATCCCAGGCAATTAGACTCTGCTGGGAGCACATAACCTAAGGCCTGAACCTGTGAGGAAGCAATTTTCTACTACTAGCAAGAAGATAGCCAGATGTTGCAGCACAGTTTCTGGCTCCATTCCTGTCTGCCTTAGCCAAATGGTGATCTGCTTGCAACTTCTACTCCGTGGAGGTTGTTCTGGTGGTCACAGGGATTCAAGTAGGAACATTTATCCCTATTTGATTATTGCTTCCTCTGAAAGCCTGGCTGAATAAAAATGTCCTTTTCCTGAAAATAGTTCAAATCCATTTTTGAAATTTTCTTACATATTAAATAGGCTTTAAAAAAAAAAATCCCCTACATTGCACTTGTTCTCATTCTTCACTGAAAGCAATCAGACAAAAATCAGCCATGGGCAAAGGAATTTTTGGTTCACCAGTTCAGTCATCCCTATTTCTTATACATGTGAAGCCTTGCAGTTGTTTTTTTTGCATTTTCTTTGCATTTATTTTGAGATTAAAAAAGCTTACATTTATAACCAAACTCCCTTTAGACAACTAGCTGGTAAAACATTAAAAATAATAATAAAGGCAATTATGCAGTAGAGAGGAAAACAAAAAGTTGCATTGTTATAAACTATGCAATCCTATGACCTTTTAATTTTGGACACCAGAACACCCATTTTCTCCTTCTGAAGTCACCCCAGGATAGCATTTCGCTAACAGTATTAGGAGAATAGCTTGACAGATGTATTTGAAAATACAGAAGTTTCCTTTCCCAAATAAGGTCCAGGGAAATGACAAACAGCATAAACCATGAACTAACTCAAAGGAATTTCAGAGAAGGGAGAAGCTTTTTAACTCAGTCTGTCATGCACCATCCTGCAAAAAAAAAAAAAAAAATCATTCCCCAATACCCCATTCCTCCAAAATCATCCTGAAGCAATACCAGCTCTGAAGCTAGCATAGTAAATTCCATACCTTTGGAACCAGTGGGAGATGGAAGATCAAGAGGAAACTAAATAGAAACACCTCTCATCTCCTGTCCTGGACAAACAAACAAGACTTTTTATCTGGTGGTGCAAGCACAATGCATTCTAAAAACCTCTTTTATTCAGTACTACACAATCCTAGTATGTCATGCATGAATATGCAGTTTCAGTTCAAGGGAAGGAACTCACCAGTAAAATCTGTTTGGTGTGATCCGTTCATGCATGATCTGCCATCTTCTTCCAAAATCCATAGAACTATACAGCTGAAAGATATTAAGAACTAAATTAAGTGAAACCATAACTTACAGAAGACTTAGTCTGCTGCAACAAAAGCAACACTATTTTGTACTTTAAAGACTATATACCCTGCTACACCTAGATAACTTTGGCTGATTTTCAAAAGGCTAAATAGGTTTGTAGAGCTTGAATGGGAAAGTATAGGAAATAATACCAGGGCTGTAGGCTAGACCAGAAATTTTTAAAAGCAAACAAACAGAAGAAACAGAAGGAAGTCTTATGGATGTGGTCATGATGAAATTACCAGGAAACCAGCTCTACTGTAAAGAAACTTTATATTTAAAAAAAAAAAAACTATACAGATTTAATGTGTATATATGTGTGTAGAGAGAAAGAGAATATATACTGGCTATAATGGATAATGTTGAAATAATTTTTCCACTGAACTTCTATTCTTGAAAAATCTACTGCAAGGTCAAACAGATATATACTGAGTATTTTATATACATTTTATATTTAATAGCAAAAGAATTAAGACATTGTATTTAGAATGTTCATTATTATTACTGATATTCAGTGAAACTGTTTTGAAAATGTATAACTATGTTCACTTTTTATTATCAACTCTCAATTTCATTAAATGAAATCCTGCTGATGTTCTGAATTCCAAGTCCTATTAGTCTCACCTGGTTTGAAACCAAACTGATATGAAACAATGAGTATTAAATTTTCCCAGGCTAAACAGAGAAAGCAGTGTCAGCCATTTCAAACAGTCTTAAAGTAAAATTAGCTATACATATAATCAGCAAAAGAATGTTACCAGGGAACAACATAAAACCTGGACACAAAACCAGGTTGTTAGAGTGACTCTCTTATACTATGAGGGAAGTACTTTCATTGTAGGGCCACCAATACCATTAGGTGCAGTGAGGTAAATATTACATTATCGAAAATATTTTGTTAGTTGTCTGTAGGGGTACTTCTGGAATTTTCTGTTTTATATATCAGATGTTGATATTAGGCACTTTTACTCACTAGGGCAAGTGGTGGGGTGCTATTTGTTACTACGCCTCAGACAACAAAATGCCTTGGACCAGCCTTACAGTCTTGGTTATGGATGCTCTTCTGTGGAAACCATTAATGCATTTCTTCAGGAACTGAACTCTTGCCTCTGTTTCCAGTTGGCTAGGAAATTGTTTTGTTGTATTCAAGCATGGTGAAAGAATTTAGTCAATGTATTTGAATTGGTTTTGCATTTATTTGGAACGGGGTTTTAGCTTATTTGTTTAAAATGTGAATAAATGTTGGATTTAATACAGTAATCTATTGGGGCACATCAATTATTATATGTAAATTTATTTTGCTGCTGAAGATATATGATTGTGTTTTAATGACTTTTCAAATATATCGTTAATTCTATTCTTGTTACTTGTTATTGTTAGTTGGAAATGTGGGGTATAAGTATTAAAAATAAAATAAAATACCAATTACACTTGAACTGGGGATATGCCAATACTATTCTAACTAAATAGATGCTATTTATAATGTGCGCTAGTGAAGGGGGGAACACACAAATAGAAATGGCAGCAAAACAAAACATAAGCTTATAGCCTCCACGGCAACATGTGGTGCTGAAAAATCAAAAGCCCTGACAGCAATTACACATCACAACATATCAGAGGATGCCAGAAGGTCTCTCTTCCTTTAGTCCCAGTTTCCCAACTAAAAGAAACCCTCCAACCTTCCATCCTCAGGCTTTGTTAAAGACATACATTCAAATTCCATTATGTCCTTTCCAAGGATGTTTTATTAGAATAGCAACCAAAGGAAAGGAAGGAGAGGGCACAGCATCCAAAAACATCCTTGAGTAGGACACTATGGAATGTACACACAGTCCTTCTGGGAGCACGTAGTTGTCATTCAGCCAAGGAAACCAGTGTTTGATGAGAAACTAAGAGCCCATTTACATAGCCTCCTTGTCCCAGTGTGAAAACACCCCATTCAGCAGATGAGATAAGTTGCTGAAGAAATGTTCTTGAAAAGATGGAATTTCAGAAAGGGATTTAGTTGTGTAGGCTTCTCCCACACATTGTTTTTTTTTTTCTTTTCTTTAATTATTTAATTTTTTTATAGTTTAAAGTAAGATTAACAAGTCAGAATAAAAATGAACAGTGGTATTACAGTAAAAATATGCATAATGGTGATTAAAATCCACTTGAAAATGCGGCAGATAAAATGACTGCAGAAGGGTCAAGGGTCCAGTCCCCCTTGAAACCAGCAAATGTGAAATGCAAATCAGTCAACCTACCCATAAGAAAACACACACCATATATATAATAGATGCAGACCATGACTGGACATAAGGGAATGGTCCCATAACACTTTTGCTGCATCAGTTTGAGTCAAGCACATCACTGACCCTGACTAAATCATCTCAAGCCTCCTCCTCTGAGTACCCTAAATTGTCCACAAAGAATGACTTGTCTAATGTGCAAATCAGCAGGTCAGACTGAAACACCTAAAGCAATCTTCAGGATGTCTTAGCAGTGGGATGACAGTGATAGAGGTAATGTCAGGAGGTATGTCCTTGACAAACGACTGGAGCAAGTAGGCTTTCAGAGAGTTGAAAGCAAGAACAACTCTTCAAGAAATGACACCCACACCCACACTGACTTCTGCTTATCTTGAGAAAAGGCCATCATATAAAATTAATTTATAGAATTATAAACCCATAAATCTAATACCCTCATTACCTAAATTTGCTAATAAGATTTAAAACTAAACAGCCCTGCCATATAACTTTAATAACAACCATTCTCCTCATTCACTCCCTATAGCTTCCAACAATCATATCTACCCTCGAGATGTGTTGGGCTACAACTCACATCACCCCAACCTCAATGAGCTCTGCTACTGAATAAGGATGGTGGGTATAAGATTGGGAAAAGCTGCTCAAAAATTCACCCAAATAAAAAAGTTAATCAGAGTCAAGACAGGGCAATTCCAGAGGGTGGATGTTATGGTCAAAAATACCTTGCTTAGGCTTGTATGGGAGGGGAAAATGTAATGATAATTTAAATTAAACCTTTAAAGGTCAGTATTAATGCCTGAGATTTGCATAAGCAAATTTCTCCAAAAAAGTATGATTGGGGTAGTTTGGGGTATGCTGAATATAAAGTGTGTACTTTTACCCATTCAGAGTTCTTAATGTATCACTGGAGAGAAACTACCAACTGTTGCAATATGTGAATTCTCAGACTTAAGTGGTCAGCATATCATTTGGCAGTAATGTGTGACTCAACCCAAGGCTACTTCTTTTCTGCCAAGGACTAGAATAAGTATCTGTTGTTTGGCTCGAGCTATTTTCATTTGACTTCTTTTTTTTTTTTGATAAAAAAAATAGCTTTCAGTTAGGAAGCACTAAGCCATTTCATTGAAGTTAATCATGTGCCCTCTGGTTACTTGTTCAAAAGTATCCTGTCCATCATTGTGGGAACTCAACCAGTTCTGGTAGAGGTTTTTTTTAATATTAGATTTCAGGCTGATTGATGGTAGAAAGATTAAACTGAACTCATAGTTTTTAGGTGGGTTCATGGAAAAAGATAAGGAGACTTTTCATTTGATAGCACTGGGCTTTACTTCTTTCCTTCCTTTCTAGCAGTCATCTCTGAATTTCTGCTGAAATTAGATAATCAAGAAAAGCAGCTGTTATACTGTGGAGTTCTTAAGGGGGAGAGGAAGGTCCCTTTAGTCCCACTTTGGTTCATCACAGCCTGCTTACCATTAATCATGCATGCAAACCAAAAGGTCAATGACTCATCATTTAAAGAAAACCAGTAAATGAAAGGGTTCTTTGAGCATAAAAGTTGAGTGCCCTTGCTCGTGGGACCCAGAGGAGATGTCAAATGCAGCCAAGAGAAATAAAGTCATTTGCAATCAGTTGCTATGCAGGGTGAAGGAAAGCAAGCTGGTTTGTTGTGATGTGTGCATGTCACTTTGATATGACGTTTTTCTAGTTTCTTTCAAGAGGACATTACAAATTGTGGTTCATTGCAAGGATGAAATATGCTGGTTTTAAACATGTGCATAGATATACTACACATGGAGTAGTTTATGCTACTACAGCAGAATTTTCTCATTTTCATTTTCATATACTGTTATCTTCCTATGTTAAGTCATATGAAGAACTGATTTCTCAAGGTACTATGCATTATGCCACTGCACTAGGAAATATTATGAATTAATTCCCATTACAGAGAGATTATGTTCACTGTAATTGTATTATGAAAAGACATTGTCTAGACTTTTCATCTCTGACTGCAAGTTTCTATAATAAAAATAGGAAGGTACATTTTAGAAATATAACGTATCCAAAATAAGGGGTACAATACAGATTATTGACTTGGTAAATAGAATAATGAGACAATTTGACAGTTATTTTCAATAATTTGACAGTCATATTTTCAGTATCCAGATTCCATTTATTATAACTATGATTTGGAAAAGTGGGCTTTTAAAAGAATATACATGTTTTGAACTTACAGTTTTGGTAATCAGAAAGAAAACTATTCATAAAGACATTATTTTTATAAAACAGAAGATATAATAAAATTAATATCAAGAAAATGGCAGTGATTAAAGAAAGATTTGATAAAAAGTAATCCAAGATACTTTATGTTTACATTGTATATTAAATAAGATACTACTTTTTTGAAGACTAAGGATGCAGATTATGGGACCTAGGTGAGTATCTATGAGTTCACGGGATTATTTTGATGTTCACTCTCCAAAGTTGAGAATTGTTCTCTGATCTCAAAAAGGCAAATGTAGCACCTGAAACCCTTTTCCAGTTTCTGCAAAAGCCCCACACCTGGTTATTTCAAGCACTGAAACTGATGTCTGAAAGTGACATAAGTATACTGGATTTCTACTTTATCGGCAAGAGCCATCAGAGTCTTGATTTCTCAGAGGTTCTGAGGTTGGAGCTTTCTGCAATGTCTGCTACAGTTTCCTCCCTCTTAGATTT